CGCGGGGTGGTCGCGGGGTGGCCGCGGGGTGGCCGCGGGGTGGTCGCGGGGTGGCCGCGGGGTGGCCGCGGGGTGGTCGCGGGGTGGCCGCGGGGTGGTCGCGGAGTGGTCGCGGAGTGGCTGCGTGACGTTATGTTGGGAATGCGTGACTGAAAATCGCGAAGTCGTCGGAATTTGGCGTCCTTGGCCTTTGCATTTCCTCTTAGACGACGCAGGTAGTAAAAACACTGTTAATCTTGTCGGCCGCGCGTGCTGGATGAAAGGACAGTTATAGGCGGTTTATGCAAGTGATAAGAGATGATGCGAAGAGGATGCAAATCGTGTTTTCTGCCTGGCTGCCGGTTGCGAAAACCTTAACAGGTTCGTCATCGTTGCAGGAATTCCGCTTACGAGCTGGCTCCTGTCGTCCAGCAGATTCGGTCAGAAATAGAAAATTTGGGAAAATTTGGACCCGACTTCTCCGACTCCATTCCTCGAGGTGGATTCATGGATTTAAAACTAGTCACACGACGAGAGGCGCAAAAGTCGAGAAGGACTCCGAACCTTTGACGAAGTGGACGCGGACGAACTGAGGCTGGTCGATTGCCTTCTCGGGAGCGACGGTCATCTGGTACAAGTCGGACGGGGGGCGAGCACGACGGGTCTTCCAGGATCCCGCTCTCGTAGCTTCAAAGGGGAAGGGCAGGTGGAACAGGGTGGGGGCAAGGGGCGGATGGATGGACAGCGGGAAAGGGGTGCAGGAAGGGGGGACAGAGGGGCAGGGAGCCAGGGGCGCAATGAGTGGGCAACCCAGTCGCCAAGTGAAGTTGAAGATTACTTTGTTAGCGTTGTCGAGGAGAGTACCGAAGCGAATCCAATAGTCCTCACTAGCGTGACCGTTAGCATTTGAGCACTTTTTGGCGCTAGGTCTCCTCATATTCGGTTTTGGAAAATACAGAAAGCATCAGATAAAAGAGGAATATCCGATAGGAATCTTTTCCTCGTAGAGCAGAATGAGCGGAAGCGAGAGATTACCTGCCATCTATCGGAGGCTTCAGGAGTGAAACGGTATATGAAACTGAACTCTGAAAACCTGTTTTGCAGCGTAATTGTGACGTGCAGATGGATGACACAGGAAGTGCTTCTGTAGTGACGCGATCTGCGGAATCTTTCTAAACCTGTTTTGCGAACGTTTAACCCATGATTCCTCCGGCCACGTCCCAAATTTCATCGCTCTATGCATGGGGTTGCTCAGAAAAGATCTAAACACAAGATGTAACAAGATACATTGACGACAAGAATTAATGCACAGAACGTCATGCCTAAGGGATAGAGTATACCAACTTGTTGAGTGCACAAGGCATTGATTGAGACAAGGATCGCTCTGCATGTCAGTTCTTTTATTGAAAGTTTCGTGTCAACGTCGCTGTGCTTCTGGTGTCGAGGTTATCTCTGAGCAATCATTTTAGTCCGTTCGTCACCAAGTCACAGTTCACTTCGCAATTTTGGGTCACCCCGTACATCGGTCCTGCCGTATGTTTGGATTGAATCCGATGACGGAGGCGGGTGCATTCGCGTGCACACACGACTGGATGCGGAGGCAAGGACGCAGGGTGGCTTACCCGGGGCAGAGGCGAGGCGCGAGTCTGTCCCCCGAATGTCGAGGTCGAGCCCCAGAGCCTTCCCTGCGGTGGGCGGGAGACTGCACGCGTGGCTGGGGGGATTCCGAGGTCGCCCGATCTCAGGTGGGTGCAGGGTGGTCTCGGGTGGATGCGGGGTGTGGCTCGCCTCTGAGACGCGCGGTCGTGCTCTTTCCCGTCGCCTGTTCGGCGCGCCCGTTGCGGGCTTCTGCAGATTCGCTCCTCAAAATTGTCAGGTAAAATGCCTGAAGGTTTCAAGCTACTGATGGATGGTTGAAACTTGAAAGTATTTCAAGTTTTATGCGGTGCGTCGGATGGTGCCGAAATATTCGATCTGCAGCTTAATACCTAGCTTAATACCTGTCCATAAAAAGTATTTGCTAGCTGAGCGTGTTCCATCCGTCAGCCTCGCTTGGATTAAATATGAGGAACACGAACGAGAATTCAAAGCCGCAATGGAACCAGCACGTAAAGCGAATATGAGGAGACCTAGCGCCAAAAAGTGCTCAAATGCTAACGGTCACGCTAGTGAGGACTATTGGATTCGCTTCGGTACTCTCCTCGACAACGCTAACAAAGTAATCTTCAACTTCACTTGGCGACTGGGTTGCCCACTCATTGCGCCCCTGGCTCCCTGCCCCTCTGT